TGGTTCTTGGTAAGATTTTACTTACAATTCAAATGTAATATTACATTGTTCCTGAAATTATATGAAGTCTGTATAGTACTGTTTGCAAAGGACTTGGGGTCCAATCTTTGGACTACAAATGCCGTGTTTTAAAAGAAAAGAGCACATGGGATGCCATTCAGTTTTTGTTTCACCCAGTTATGTTACTCTGATTCTCCATTGGGAAATCTTCAGACTCTGTCGAAATCCATCTTAATAAATTTAGTTCATCTTCTTGCGATTATTATTGGTGTGACATGATCATTCTGAATCAGAGTCTTTAGGCTACTCCAACACGAATTTTTTAATTCCTGTGTAAGGTATATTCTCTAAATAATTTCACTTGCACAGGCAAATCTGCATGCATTTCCTTCACTTGCACTTGTGGATTGATCCCTCCATTCACGTGAAGCTCAAGGCTATTGTACACCAGTCAGATGAAGGGGCAAAATTATTTGGAGTCCATTTTCCAGGAAAAAATATATTCTGGATTTGGATCATCCAATTAAAATATCATTGGGTTAAGATTCAGGTGGAATTCAATAATAATTGCTATAGCTGGTGGGAAGAACAATATGAATTTAACTGGATACACTCTTTTCACTTCTTAAAAGGATTTTATTACATTGAAATTTTACATTTGTAATTCTGCTAATTAGCCTGTGATCAGCAGAGTGTAAACATCTGCATAAGTGATGGAACAGCAGTCTCTTCAGTTTATCACATTAAATCACTCTGGGGGAAAGGATAGAAACTCATTTATGAAACAAACACTTTTTGCCAGCTTTCTATTAAGTAAAAGTACTAATGCAAAAACCTGAAAAGAATAGAGAATTAGTGCATGTGGCTTTGTGAAGGCCCTTCACGGTCTGAATAGCCATACAAAACAGAAAATTAAAATGCAGCCATAAACAAAACACCAAAAGGCAAAAAGATGTCTTAATGCGTTCAGAGCTCAGGCGGTTCATAGTTGGAATAGGGTTGCCACTGCATCCACACACTTAAGGGTGAGGCACTATTGCAATTACTTTTCTTTTCAGGGCATAGCTTGAAAACGTTACTTTATGAATTACAATTCGAGCTGTTATTCAGTCACTGTAAAAACAGGCATGTCTTGGTTACCAATGATCAAATATGGTTAAAAGAGGAAGGAGGCAAGACAGTGTTATTTGAGCTTGTGGCCATTGTCCAAGTAAAATACCTCTGTGTAAGAACCTAACCAAATGTGACAGTAATAGTGTGATCAACAATCATGATTTATGTTTTTAAAAAATATTTTAAACTGCACAAGGAAGAGTGGTTTATACAGAACTTGGAAATTTTATTTTGGGGGGGGGCTGCAACGCCCAGAATGCCATGGGGCTGTGGGATTCTGCAGTCCAAAAAGGAGTTTTCCAGGTTCTGTCAATCAGTCACTTTTTCATATTTTGTATAACTGGGTAACTTTCTCAAGCTGTAACTAAGTATACTCAATAGGGCATGTTCTGCATATAACTTTGAATTCTGTTCCAGGAACTGTACTGGATTTAGATACGTATAATCAGACTATATGACTTATAGGTGGCAGAAAGACCTGGGCTTTAACCCTGGGCTTTTATGAGGAAATGTGGGGTATAAATCAAACGATTCATATATACACAGATAGAAAAACTGTGCTGTTCAATGGATTGGAGGTCCTGACTTCAGAATGCCTAGTGTGCCTCCCAGAAGAGGGGGCCAGACAAGATCACACCACAGCATGACTGATAGAGTTCCATGCTCTGCCACTTCTTTGGCCTTGGGCAAACTGTACAGTCCTAGAGTACCACCAGAATGAGAGACTGGAGAACCACCTCTGAGTACTTCATATATCAAAAGACCTGAGAGAGTCATGATAAGCAGGGTTTGATGGCACATTGTTGCATATGGAGATTACATACAAACAGTGGCAGACCTCTATATTTGGGACCCTGAACCTTGAACTGTTATGGGTGGCCCTTTACCTTCTGGGTAACCACTGATATCTTCTTCAGTTGGGTTGTTTTATGACAGTTCACCACAGTTTTCCTAAAAATGTTGACTAAAATCACTTCTAGGGCTGCTTTAGGATTAACCTCTCCTTTTGACTTAAAGAAGGTAAAGGTAAAGGTTTTGGGCAAACTGTACAGTCCTAGAGTACCACCAGAATGAGAGACTGGAGAACCACCTCTGAGTACTTCATATATCAAAAGACCTGAGAGAGTCATGATAAGCAGGGTTTGATGGCACATTGTTGCATATGGAGATTACATACAAACAGTGGCAGACCTCTATATTTGGGACCCTGAACCTTGAACTGTTAAGGGTGGCCCTTTGCAACCAGAAATGAAGTCTGGGTAACCACTGATATCTTCTTCAGTTGGGTTGTTTTATGACAGCTCACCACTGTTTTCCTAAAAATGTCGACTAAAATCACTTCTAGGGCTGCTCTAGGATTAACCTCTCCTTTTGACTTAAAGAAACAAGAGCTAAAGGTTCCCCTTGACAATTTTTTGTCCAGTCGTGTTCAATTCTAGGGAGCGGTGCTCATCCCCATTTCCAAGCCATAGAGCCAGCGTTTGTCCGAAGACAATCTTCCATGGTCACATGGCCAGTGTGACTTAGACATGGAACGCTGTTACCTTCCCACCGAGGTGGTCCCTATTTATCTACTCGCATTTGCATGCTTTCAAACCGCTAGGTTGGCGGGAGCTGGGACAAGCGACGGGCGCTCACTCCGTCACGTGGATTCGATCTTATGACTGCTTGGTCTTCTGACCTTGCAGCACAGGCTTCTGCGGTTTAGCCCACAGTGCCACCATGTCCCAGTAACTTAGGGAAGCAACAGTCAAAATCTTACTGCTTAGTTATGCCAGTGTAAGTGCAGTAGTGTAAACTGTAGTGACAAATTGCTGATAGGTAACAAGTCACCACTTATATCCCTTATAGCATGCCACTTGCAGAAACTAGTGTACAACAAGCGAAATAAACATAAACTTATTAACGAGCAGCAATTTACCAGTGCAATTTTGCAGTGTTTCATTTACACCTACCGGCATAACTAACCAACAGGATTCTGACAAATGGCACCTGTAAGGAGAAACAGTTGCTGTTTGCTTGCCAGTTCTTCAAAGGTGGGGTGGACAGGTGGGGAAGGTGATGCCAGTGGTGAGGAGGAGCAGTACTAGCTCCTTGCATTGGCAGTAATGTGAAGATGTTCAAAACCACCCCTCGAAAAAACCAAAGCTAGGCAAAATCCAGAGGTAGCACTTTTGTCAGCTGCCATAGATAGTTTAATGTAATGAGGAGGTATGAATGGAAGAGTAAGTGTTGTGATGTTACCATATAGATGAGATCTGATAGTTTGTGGATGAGACTTCATCCTCTTATAACCTTCAAAAGTTAGCTTCTAAAAGACACTCACAAGTGACTTTTATTTTATTACGTGCTTTGTAACACATCTTGATATCTTCTGGAAACCCTACGTTTTCCCACTACCCACTACTCTTCAAGTTAAAACTAAAATCCAACCTGTGAGAAGTAATTATTTTAATATTTCAGAATTTCAAATGCAAATATTTTTTTCAGACCAATACTGTGAAAAACTAACAAAAGTGTGGTGCTTGAAGTGGGAAGTTGTAACTTTTTACAAAATTCCTGGAGGCTGGTCACAGAGTCTAAGAGTTCTGCAGCACCCTGATTAAGAAACACTGGTGTAAGCAGGAGTGAACTATGGGGGCAGTGGTCGTATGATATCAGACAGTTTCATGTTCCTAAGGGTCCAGAAAGAGAGCCTGTATAGTTCTTAACCCGTATAAAGGGTTCTCAGACTTGTGGATATTATCTAACCTCTACTTTCTTAAAGTTCACTGTGCAGAGTTAAGATGATGTGGCTTGTTGTATAGTAAATACAGTAAACATAATTTGCCTCTACTAGTGTTTTCATCTAGACCTGTTATTTTCAAAATACATTCAAGTGACTTGTGGGATCCCTTGGAAGCTTATCAGGCATTATTCTAGAGGCAAATAAATCTCAATATTGATTTAAATGGAGGTCTTCTCTGTATGGAATAATTTTTTAACCAATCTGGGTGCCAAGAATTTTGATTGTCTACTTCTCTTTGAAATAATTATTGAGAGAGCTGTTTTAAATTTACTGGAAGTATAATTTAGCTTGCAAATATGTTGCTTCAGATTGTGACTGACTGGGATATCCATTCTGGAAAAAAAGTCAGCTTTTTATCCCTTATGTGCATTAACAAATATATGTTGGAATATATTATATTACATTGGCACTGTGGTCTGTTTTTATCGAGAGGAGGCATTAGCTGCAAATTAGCTCATCATATGCAGATATACTCATCATATGCAACACCCTTCTGCTGTAGAAATTTTTTGCCATTGAATCTTATAAGCATTCCAGTGCTAGTGAGCTCCATGCTTCATAGTTTTTTAAAGAAAATTGACCCTAATGAGATGTAATTTCTCTCTCATAAATATTAGCAATTGTGAATGTATGGTCTTAACCATTGCACCTCTTCCCATGGCTTCTTAACATTCTGAATCTGTTTGGAGTTGAGACTAGTATGTGTATGTATCAGAGATGTTTAAAAATGGTTGCAAAATTAGATCATCTAATTGTGGAATAAATCCAATACATGCAACAATGATAACAGAGGGTCAAAAATATAATAATGCTTAGCATGTACTTAGAAGTGGCACTGTCCTAAGAAGCAAATTATATCTGTGTGCCATAGCACATGCTTTTGCTCACCTCTACATCTTGCATTGAGTCATGCTTTGTTTTGTGATTGGCCACTGGCAGATAAGAAGAAGCCAACATGGGTCAACATACTTTGGTTCCATCTTTGGTGTTCTTGTGACTCATTTGTACACTTTTTCCTGTTTCTAATGAGAGTTTGGCAAACAGTGGGTTAAACCAGTCTATAATTTCTCATTGTAATTCCTTTACTGTTCTCTTGCAGAAATATCTCCCAGCTTCCCAGAAATCATGTCAGTAGGATCACATTCATTCTCCCCAGGAGGCCCCAATGGGATTATCAGAAGTCAGTCCTTTGCTGGTTTCAGTGGTCTTCAGGAAAGGAGATCAAGGCAAGTAAATCTTCAAAACACACAGCTATAAACTGCAAAGCACATAAACACTCATCAATGCAGACATAACTCAGTGCTGAAAATATTGTTTTTGTATAGTTATCAGTAGCAAAAGAGGCATCTGTTACACAGTTACAGAACTGATACTCTATCAGGGGGTGAAACTTCAGTTTAAAAATGATTGGAAAGGGAGGAAGTGGCCTTAGTTTTATCAGAGGCTATCTCTTTGACCGGTCTTGGCCACTGTTGCAAATCTTTTGTTTCTTCATTTAAGCTAGTTTCTGCAATAGGATTGACACTTGTAGTAGGCTGAAGTGAGTGAAGGCAACCACTCCACCTGGACATTCTCCAACACAGACTCCATTCAGATGACAGGGAACTACATAACTTATTTGGATTGTGCCTTTGGTTTATAATAATTTACATCCTGCAGTTCTATAAATCAAAGTAGCTGTCAACTAGCAAGAGCCACTGGGCAGTAACCAGTAAGCACAACTGAATTATTGTTGTAAGCAACAGATCAAATAACTACTCTTTTATTGAATTTCTTCTCTGTTCTATTCTAGGTTCATTGTATAAATGTGAAAATATTTTATGTCTTTCGTTATTTGCATTGAGTCTGTATAACACAATGAGGTAGAAATCTAAACAGATCAATGAAAGGCACTGAATATATCACCCAGCAGAATATCAGATGCTGGTTGAAGTGTCCTGTTGTCACAGACCTATTAACTGGTAAACATTTAGTCCTCCAGCAGGTGGAATAGTAAGCTGATTGCCTTTAGCTACAAAAGATTAGGAGTTAGATAAAGCTCCTTAGACAATACTCCCTCAAGATAACAGGATAATCAGGATTTATAGGTTTTCTTCCCCACCCTATGTCCTTTGAATGTTCACTCTGTAGGTGTAACTCCTTTATTGAAAACTCCTCTGCACTGAAGAAACCCCAGGCAAAAGTGAAGAAAATGCACAATTTGGGACCCAAGAGCAACAGCACTTCTAAGGAGCCTCAGCCTGAAAGGATGGAAGAAGTTTACAAGGCCCTAAAGAATGGACTGGAGTAAGAGCTTTTATGACTCTGGAGTGGTGTAAAAATGTTTTTATTGCTCTATAGAGAAAACATGACTCTGAAAACAAGACAAATAAGAGTTTTAGCTGCGATGTCAAAGATAGGTTCACTGGCTCCCAGTCAACAAGGAATTTCTGCTTTGAGAGCGTAAGTCTCATTCACACCTTTAGATCCTTGGCCAAAACTGTATCAAAACTGGCTTTCGTGGAGGCATGAAAAAGATCTTTGGCTACCTTCATTTCAAAACCTAAGTTTTTAGTCTTGATTGACTTAGAGATGTTTTAGCACATGCAAAAATTACTATGTTTGTGTCTATTTTTGCAAACGTGGCTATGTTAGTTGGGAGGGAGGATCCAAAATCTTCTGGCATCATAAAGAGTAACAATTTGGTGGTGATGGTGGGGGAGTTTTCATGCCTGCAACATGGTCCATCAGAAGATGGAGTACATTTTACTTTTGGCATACTATGCTACCAACTCTTCTGGATCCAGTGTACTTGGAGTGACATGGCAAAGTCCACTGCCTGTGGTCAACATATCAGATGTAACCATGTTGGATCAGGCAGCTGCCACATGTCCCAAATGGACATATGGGCTAATCCTATGGACTGTTCAACAGGCCAAGTTTAAGATTGCTTTTGATTAGGGCTTTCTAAACATTCCACTGTTATTCATCTATGAACATGTGCACAGCTCATTTGCCTAGGTAATTTTAGGAGTTTGACTTGTTACCAGACATTTTGTTTTGCAAGCCATTTTGAGATTAATGGGAAATCACAGATCTAATGGAATGAATGGGAATTTGGTACTTAATTGTGGTGCTTAATTGTCACAGCCCAGTGAGAGACTGTGTAGGAGTATTTCCTGGCAGATTGTACACTTGTTATTTGTTTCTAAATGTTTTTGCTTGCTTTCATCTTCCAAAGCTTTAAAATCAGTCTACAAAAGCACACTATTACATTTTCTGGCAAGATATAGAAATGTCTCCCCCCACCCCCCAAATACACCTTAGAAGATTAAAAAATGTGTATGTGTGTGCGCGCATGTGCATGCATATATGTGAGCATGTATTAAACAATATTGGTGAGTAAATGTTCTCAGAGACTCTTCAGAAAATAACTCCCAGATTATATCAGTCCATCTGACCAAGCTCCCTCCCTGCCCCAACAAAAAACCTTTCCCATCACTGTTAATTCTAAGATACATATAGATCAAGTTGCTCTTGTCTGAAATTTCTTACAGTTGGCTAAAAATGAAGAGCAACAATGAACAAGCTTTGTAGTAATTCAGTATTAAGCTTTGACTTAAATGCATAAATATAGCTCAGATGTAGTCTTCTTTTTGTTGCTTTTTAATAGATGTGCCTTAGTTATTAGTAGAAATTTCTAATATCTTTCAGTCACATTTATAGTCTCCAAATAAATCGTTTCCTTTTAACATTTTCAAGAGTCTTGATGTTTCGCTAATAATTTTACTGAAAATTACATTTTCTAAATCTCTATTATTGTCTGGGTTATTTTTGTACACTCTCCCTCCCTATAGTAATGTACATTTCTTTCAATTTAAATTGTACTTGCTTGGACAAATTACATATTAACTTTTTGCAGATGAAAACCAACACTTTAATACTGCTGCACAATAGAGCTGATGCTTTACTTTTTAACATATCTTTACAGTGAATATCTTGAAGTGCATCAGACAGAGCTGGAGAAGTTAACTGCTCAATTAAAGGATATGAAACGAAACTCACGACTGGTATGTCTTGTCATAAGACTCTTACAGCAAGAATGTGTTTATAAAGTAGGGAAGACTCAAAGGAGAACTGTACTGTAGTTTGGGCATGGTGCATGTGAAAACTAAGAGTAGTTCAGAACTCCCTAATCAAAATGGTACAGTCTTTCTTTGGAGACTACACCACCTGAGATTCCATTTGAGATTCCCCCATCTCAGAAATTTACTGGCTTCTGTAAAACTAGATTTTGATGTTTTTGATGTAATGGCAACTAGGATTCATAATGTTTGGCTAGCACAGCTACTTTTGATTTAATCTTTAGTGCTCTAAAACAGGACGTGGTGACAGTTGCAACCCCAAGCCCACCTGATACTGGACCTCCCCCCCCCGCTAGCTTCTTATAATTGGTACTGCTGAGAATTACCATCCATAGGATCACTCAAGTTTGACCACACTATCAGTTTCTCCTTGCTTCATGTGGAGCTTTGTAGGGTTCTTCTACAACCAATCCTGCAGTAAATCCATTTTTGCTGGACTGTGATGAGGAAAGAAAGAAACCTAAACCTTGTGAATTCTTTCATAAATTTCCAATCCATGGTCTAAATCCATTTCAGTATCTGATACAAAAGTCATCTCACTGTGGGACGAATTTGGTTGTATGAATTCTCTGCCACCATTGTTTCAGGGGCAGAAAAGATGGAGAAGCTAACAGAAGAGGAGAGCCCATTTCACTTGTTAAAACATTGCCTAATTCAATTTTACTAAACATAATAGCAGAAATAAAGGGACAATCTTTTTTAAAAGAAGCAATTACTTCCATTCTATTGGTCAAAAAATCTGTGAAATTGCATTATGCACATATATGTTGATGTATTGTGCATGTGTATTATATGAGTATTTTGCATCTTTGGAGAAAATATATGATTGGAACAAAATTCTGAAAGTAGCTGAAGAGGTATATATAATGTCAAAAGATCAGTTCAATTGGTTTATAAAGTACTGTAGATGGAATACTGTTTGCCATTCCAAGATGAGTGATGAGAAACAATTTAAGTAATTTTATTTCCTTATTTATATCTGCATTTATAAGCTTCCTAAAATACTCTGGGAGGCTTACCCAATTTATGTTCTCGCCAAGTTTAATAGGATTCTTTCATTACCCAGGACAACTTGATCTGTGTCGTTCTGTTGGACATTTATTTATTTTGTCTCATATGAACTAGGGAATCTAAAGTACTGGCACAGTGTTTTCTGTTTTGCAAGAATGTCATATGTGAAATCCATATTTTCACTTCATTTCATGTCTTTACAGGGAGTGCTGTATGATCTAGATAAGGTATGTTTCCCTACTGATCTGCTAAACTGATGATCCCAGTCCTGTGGTGAAGTATATCATTTCATTAGCTGCAGCACTTGTAGTAGAGAAGAAGCCTTCTGGATATTCCAGTTACAGAGATAAAATAAGGCTGTCCATTTATTCATTTCACAGGAATCACTTTCACTTCAGAAGGCTTATTTCAAAGAAAGTGGTTTGAGGACAATGACCTAAAGTGATGGCAGTGTGAATTCAGTAGTACTCTCCATAGGTATTTGAAAGTTAAATCCAACTTTAGTTTCAACCAAAGAAGGGTTATTGAAATCATTGCAACTTACTTTAGGGTTGACTAACAAGTCCCATTTGTTCTAGTAGTTCAGTTTTAGCTGGGGCTTAAAATTGGACTTGTAAGAAAATGTTTAAGATAATTTGCATTTTGGGGAATTTCTGGAAGACACTGAAAAGGCAATGGACTATTATGTCCTTTAAAAATGTATATTTGCATGAAATCGAAAGTTCACACTTCTGTCCATAGTACAAGTCCCTCTGGAATTTAAAGCATTCACTTTCACTTTCTAAGAAAAGACTGTGTTCCTTTTGAATATTAAACTACTGTAGTCTGACATGAGCATATTAGTGTTCTTGCAGAAGTGCAAATCAGTTCAGTTGACGTAAGTTCTCTGTCATTCTTTTTCATTCTAATTATTTTTAATTTATGTTGCAGCAAATGAAAGCAATTGAAAGATATATGAGAAAGCTGGAGTTCCACATCAGCAAGGTAATCTACTATTCTTTCATCTTTCTTCCAACTTTGTTCTTAAGCTATTTATCAAAACCTCATCTAGCAGTATTACAGAGAAACCTCTTGATAAAGCATCCCTTCAAAAAATTCAAGGTTAAGTCTTGCAGTGTCAGCTGCAAAAAGGGCATAAGGATCAAGTGTGTCCTGCAACGAGTCCCCACTGTGTTCCCAGTATTCACCATCACACAGCAACTCAGCATCACATTGCACTGGGAAAGGCTACAGGGTGGGGGAGGTGAGCCTAAATTAAGACCAGAGATGTTCTGCTTTTATGTGCATAACAGACTATGCCTAAATTGCTTCCCTTTTGTTAGTGAGAAAACAAGAGAGCTAAACCTGTCTGACTTTAAGGGAGTTTTTTTTTAATTGTAACCAGGCATGGTGGTTGGTTAAATAGTGAGAAAACAAGAGAGCTAAACCTGTCCGACTTTAAGGGAGTTGTTTTTTTATTATTGTAACCAGGCATGGTGGTTGGTTAACCCCCAAATTTAACATCCTCTAATTCTGGTTACATCAGACTAAATACTTACTAGGATTCTTCAAGATCGGGTTCCTGAGGGTGCAAAGTACAGATGGCTCATGGCTGGGACAGGTGTGGAACCCCACCACAAAATATTGAGTCCCAAAAACTGAGACTCAGTCCATTGCTAGTGCAGGTCTTTATACAAAGAGATCCATAGAGTTCCTATTGTTGAAGGCTATTTAAGGAAAGGCCAGGCTTTGGGAAATGCTCAATGAAATCCTTCCCTTGAATCCAGTACCACAGCCTAATTTTGAAGCCTTTGAACTGCTATTGGGGTGTCTAAAATGCATGCAATTTAGAAGATGCATTTAGAAGACATTTGCCCCATGTCAATGATGGCGCATAATAAATTCTTAACACTTCAGGTTGTAGGTTCAGCTTTTATGTTTTTCTTTTTCATGGATGATAACTTGTATGCATCTAGTATACATCAACTGATTTCGTTTAAAAGTTTCTGTAGTCATTGAACTAATTCAGTTTTGAAGTTCAGGAGTTCATAATTACCGTATCGGTAGCCAAACCAATTCTACCAGTTTCCACCTACCAGGAGAGGATCTTTGATAGATCCACTGTACATTAACTGTATTTTCAAGACTAATTAATTATATAATTGCATATTTTTAAGTTAATTCTCATTTATAGTGACCCATTCCAGGCTTTCTCGTAGAGATGTAAAACAGAAGTTGTTTTCCATTGCCCTTTTTGAGGGGTGCTCTGGGCTCAAAATTACACAGCCTGGCCCTTCTCTTAGGAGGCACAAGCCATCTTTAAAATATGAAACTGGTGGGGAAAACAATTCTCCCCACAAATATGAAGATTGGGGCTCAGTTCAAAGGCGTCAGGGAAGTTGGGGAAGCAGTGAACAAAAAAATAACAAGAAAAATAATGGCAGTGCTTGTGCACCCTGGCTGGCTCTATTGTAGAACAGTCAGTGGTAGGACATATAGAACATGGCCACTTCTTCATTATTCACAAATTTGCAGTCAGAACATTCGACAAGTAAAAGGTTCCAAAATAACATGTTCCCTGCTAGCAAAATTTCATGCCTCAGGGTACTTTCTGTTCAGGTCCCTCCCACTCAGAACAAAGTGTTTTAAAGCAGAGTGATTTGCTACAGAGCTAAATCTACACTCACATCATTCAGTATATTAACTTATTGTTCTGTAACCCATGGTAACAAATAAGGGGAATATAACAAGAAACCAGGTTTTATAAGGCTAAAATGTAAGCAACAGCTTTTGAGAATGTTTTATTGCAAACTAGGAAAGCTTAGATGATTGTGATGATCAAGAAATGCTAGCTTTCCAATGACAGCTGTGTCTTGAAATTAAATTCTGAACAGGAAATAAAATAAGAGAAACAGGAAATGTGGTCCCTATCACAACTGTGTAAGGTAGCAGATGGGCTGTTGGTAATTCTGCTCAACCAGAGAGCCAGAGGGAAGGAGAAGAAATGTGTGTGTGTGACAGAGCGTGCTGTACCCCACCTTTGTTGAGAGAAGTAAAACAGCAAATGGCAACTCTTTGTGATAGCTCTTGGGGATCTGGTTCATTTAAATAAATGCATCTTTTGGCAATAGTCATAATAACCTAGCATTGGAGTTTATTGTTGCCATTCTTATTTTTAACTGACATGAAACTTAAGTCCAAAGCAGCCCAATTACTTCTGACTGATCTGTTTTTTCATGACTTATTAGGCTGATGGACTCTGATACCTGCGCTTATTTTTGTGTGTGCCAAATATACTATTTCCTAGGCGTTAACTTGAGATCTACCTATATAGCTCAGTGGAGTGGGGCACCTGGCTGCAAAAGAGCCAGGGGCCAGGGGTTTGACTCTCCACTATGTCTTGTGGGAGAGGATCCAGGTGAGATCACCCAGAATGTGTGCGGCTGGCGGGTTACTGTATTCTGCCATCTGCATCGTTTTGGGCAAGCTGCATGATTCCAGAGTGCCACTAGAAGGAGGAATGGTGAACCATTTCTTTGTACAGTACTTTATAACTTAGTAAACCTTGAGAGGCCTGCTACAAGTTTATTGCTTTTGGCTTTTATGCTTTCATTTTTTAATAGCATAAGCCACCTCAGATCTTTTATTAGGAAAAAGGCAGAATAAAAGAGTTTGAATGAATGAACAAAGGAAAGAAAGAAAGAAAAAAATGATTAACCCGAGATCTGCTTAGGTTACAAAAATCTGTGGACACTGCTGCAAAGTTGTGCCCTCATTCTTTTGCAGGAAAATATAATGGTGGCTTTTTTTGCTATGGGAAAAATCTTTCTGCTCACATTAAAGAATGGCATACCGTTTTTCCCTGTGCCCCTTATTTAAACTCCCAGGTTGCAGAACTCTTTTTTTGGGGGGGCGAGGGGGGGAGGAACCTAAGCCAGCTACTTCTCTGTTGCCATTCCACCAGCATGCAAATACTTTTTTTTTCCAGTCAGGCTTTTGGCAACTGTCTGGCTGCTGAGGAAAAGGCTTTAAATGGGGTTAATGTGCTTTTTTCTTCTTTTCCTCTTGGTGTGTTTTAGAATTGTTATGAACTTGATTATTCTTGTTAATATGAAGTGCTGTTAATTGTATTTTAACTTACTATGTGTTTTAGTTTTATCTAGATATATTTAATTCTTTTGTGATTACTTTGGATCCCTGTACTGGAAAAATAAGAGGCATACACAAAATAAATGAATGAGTGCATAAGTAAATATTATGTAGACCTTTCTCCTATATCCTATGATATTTAAGAATCTGCTAACTATCTGGAACAGCTTTTTGCACACTTGAGGGAGGAGAGGCAGGTTGACAAGTAAAGGAACATCAGGTGTCCTTCCTTGCATGTGAATTGTTTTCAAGTGATGCAAAGCCACCATTGGATACAACCTGATGTATAAACTCTAAGCCTTATTTTGTCTTGTCAAGGTTAGACTCCTATCGCGCAATGACTTAGCAACAATTGCACAAGCTGTCTGAGTCAGTTTACTGGCTGTCATATGCCCCAGTCTTTTAGTTGTGCAGTGGTATATAAAACTAGCCGCACAATCAAGGGTACATCTGACAACCAGAAAATAGCAAAACAAACAAACCAACAACAACAACTCACCACCATTATGTGCATGGTGTTTCTCAGAACAGTTTTGGCTGCCCTGTTTATTTCACCTACATAGAGAAAAAGCAGAATGGTTCTTGAAAGTAATGTATTACTTAAGTACAGTAGTGGTACAAAACAGCTCTTTGAGACTCTGCATTTTAAACTATAATCCTTGAACACTAGGCTTTGAAATGAGTACAACTTAAATAGACTGGGTCTCTGGCAGAGTTAAGTAGCCACCCCAAGCAGCAGATGATGTGATGTAGTACGCAGATGATGTGATGATGTGATTTTCAACCCCATCCTCCTGGACTCAATAACTGCTCTCCCAGTCATATAACTTATTAGAGACAAAGAAGTTTTGACTTTGATTTCTAGGCTTTGTCCATATATGTAACTGACCAGTTTAAGCATGGACATCGTGCATGAAGCATGTTGTATTGCATAGTAAATATTATTTCACAATAAGAGATGAGCCTTCTACTGACTGATGCAGGTCTGATTATTTTCATTTTCTTTCCTCTAAAGTAGCCTCATCAGTACAATACAGTAGCCTGTTGCTGTTGTCTTTTTCTTATCCTGATAATTAACTGAAGAGATTAAAGCTGATAAACAAGAAACTTTAATTTACAGCAATTTAGTTTTTTAAAAAATCTTAATGAAAAGAAAGAAGGTTTTACACAAACTCACTGTTGTTGATACTTAGAAGCTGGAGATGTACTTATTCTTGTCAGTCCCTTTGTTGTTATTATGAGATTGTAAAGAGAAAGGTGCTATTTCTCAACAGAATTGCTATTGTCAATATGGCATTAACACTGAAGATGTTTACACTACTATTTCTTTGGGGAAAATAAACCTCTGAATTGCTCCATTTAATTTCCTTTCAGCTAGCTCTAATTTTTCTTCTCCTTTTTCAAACCTCAACGGGCCACTGTTGGTTCCTATCAGGTAGATGAAGTCTTCGAAGCCTATTGTATCCAAAGACGACTCCGTGATGGTGCAAGCAAAATGAAACATGCATTTGGATTGTCCCCTGCTAGCAAGGCAGCTCGGGAGAGTCTGTCGGAAATTAACAAAAGCTACAAGGAATATACAGAGGTATGGGATGATCAGTTCCCTGAGTTGAATCTGACACTATATATAGTGGTAAAGGTAAAGGTTCCCCTTGACAATTTTTGTCCAGTCATGTTCGACTCTAGGGGGCGGTGCTCATCCCCGTTTCCAAGCCGTAGAGCCAGCATTTTGTCCGAAGACAATCTTCCGTGGTCACATGGCCAGTGCAACTTAGACACGGAACACTGTTCCCTTCCCACCGAGGTGGTCCCTATTTATCTACTAGCATTTGCCTGCTTTCGAACCGCTAGGTTGGCGGGAGCTGGGACAAAGCAACAGGAGCTCACTCCATCGCGTGGATTCGATCTTACGACTGCTTGGTCTTCTGCCCCTGCAGCACAGGCTTCTGCGGTTTAGCCCGCAGCGCCACCACGTCCTTTATATATAGTGGAGTGTTGAATGAATGTCAGTGAAGCAGACCATGGATTGTGGAATCTGAAAAACTGATTGCGAGAGGTTTAGAATGTAGAATTCGTGGTCACTGATAATAACTGTGTCAGGATGCTGTCTTCTGCATTCTATGCGTACTGTCCAAAGAGATTACTAATAACCACTGAGGACTGGTGGCCATTGCAGTGGATTGAGCAAAAGACACAGCAGTGAAGGGCATCCCCAGGGGTGACAGATGGAACTAGAGGTAAAAGTAGGTTCTCTCTCTTTCTCTCTTTCACATACACATTTACACACAGGGTGGGAGGCAAGAGAGATGGGTAGGAAATCAAACAAACATTCCTATACATGCAACATTTGGAAAACATCACACTAAATGGGAACTTCCCTTGAGACAGTGGAATTGGTCTCTTCCTTGCGTACTCAAGCATCTCATGAGTTCTGATTCCCATACCAGACAATGAGGGGGAAAATAGACAATTTCCAGGTTCACATTCCCATGTTCATGCATTCTTACCTCTCTGACTGGAGTGCCTTCCCTTCCCTCCAGGCTGTGGTTTTGAATCCTGTTGAAGCTTCCTCAAAATTTTCTGAACCCTGCTATAATTAAAGCAGTTGTAATGTATTTATGGCTTTTAATATACAGTTCATTTTCAGTGGTTAATCTGACACTAGTCTTCTGTTTTTCCACACAGAATATGTGTACTATTGAAGGAGAGATGGAAAATCTAATGGGGGAGTTCTGCATCAAGATGAAAGGTAATTTGCTTCCTTTTCATTGCTTTTTCTGTGCAAACATTGCAGCCAGAGCTCTCTCTCTGTCTCTCTCTCTCAATCTCTCGCTCTCTCGCTCTCTCTCTGTGCGAAAGCACTGAGAGCACAAACTAATTTAGATAACAGGTTTGTTTTCTTCTCTTGCTGCATTAGTTACAGAGGCTTCAGAATTCATCTTGCCTTATATCCAAAGCAATCAGAATGAATTGTATGTACAGAAAAACCAAGCATTTGCAACAAACTTTGCAAAGTCCTTTCTCTTGTTTTAGATGGTTATGAACTTAATTACTCAGTGTATGATGGTTGCATCACACATTGCTTTTTCAGAGAAAACCCAATGGGTGAACATCTTTTACATACATTTCCTTGTATCTTAAGGTGTGCTGTATTATTTTGTAGACTCTGAAAACAAGAGATAGATAATGAGAAATGGCTTTAGTACCTGTATAGATACTAATGAGAGAGTAGTTTGCTTTCAGAATTAAGCATTTTCATTAGTACGGTACTGCACCTACATATTAAATTAATATATGTATATAGAACAAATGCTCTGCTAGTAGAGGAGACCATTGTCCTTTGAAAGAACTTGGATGAATCACTTATTCACCATCGTAGACATGATCTGTCTATCTTAATATATAGTGGAACAGATTCTTTTACTTATTTAGATCTTTATATAAAATATGAACTTCCATGTTCCCTGACATGTTGACATCTTATCATTTCCCTGAAGTGATCGTGCAGGGTCCCATACCCTGCTTAAACCTACAGAAGAAAGGATTGCTGATATTTGCCCTATATTACAGACAATTAAGGATTCTCCTTTTATTTTTTAACCCTTTCCCAGCTCTCTCCACCTTTTTTAGAGAGCAAGAACAAGACTAGGCTGTAACAAAAACTACATAGGAGGAATAAGTTCTTCTTTGGCATTTTATTGCAGGCTAACAGCATGAAGGTGTTAGTGGTGGAATCACAACCTTTGCCAATCAAGGAACCTGATCTATTGGTCAGCAATCAGATATGTTCCAGGGCATTTTATTGCAGGCTAACAGCATGAAGGTATTAGTGGTGGAATCACAACCTTTGCAATCAAGGAACCTGATCCATTGGTCAACAATCAGATATGTTCCAGGGATACTGTTCAGGGACCTTGTACAACCCCAAGGTGTTGTCTTGAGCCCTGTTCTAGAAGGTGGGTGGCTAGTTTTGCCACTTAAGCCGCCAGGAGCAGAGGCACTGTGTAGGAGTCATTTCTACATGACAGCATACAGTATATGGAGTATTTTCAGGGGGTGAAGAGGTGAGGCCACAACTGATTCTTAGCAGCACAGGAAACCATAGCATAATCGTTCCCTCTTTGACTGGTACTTGTTGGCCAGAGCTGTTTAACTGTGGCATGTTTGTCTTAAGCAGAATGCTACAGAACATCTGTTGTCCATGCTCGTACCAACAGAACTATAGTTCAGTATAGTTTATGCAATGGTCATTTTGTTTAATTCGCTATAGTTATTAAAAGTACAATGTATAAACCAATAAAATGCATGGTTTTTATGCTTATAAACTGGACTTCAAAAATAGCGTTCCTTTTCATTCTATTGCCAACAAACTATATTCTCTTAAATGTATGAAACATTTGCATAAAAAGTCATTAAACCGAGTACAGCCAAAGTTTTTTCTTTTGGTGAAACTGAGAGCCCAGTGGTAGGGTATGTACTTTGCATTCAAATTTCCTAGGTTCAATCCATTGCATCTTGAAATGGGGGAAAAAAAAACTCCTGCCCATACTTTGGAGAGATGCTGCCAGTTAGCATAGACAGTTGTGAGCTAGAGGGGGAAATAGCGTGACTCATTGTAAGGCAGCTTCCTGATACTTATATTGCTATTCGATATTGATGTTGATATTTTCTGCCATATCAGTGCTTGAAATACAAAACAAAGAAACATGCTAAGTATTTTGATTCTGAAATTGTGTTTTTATGACTGTTGTTATTATGTCCCTTTAAATCATCTCTAACTTATGGCAACCCTATGAATGAGCAATCTCCAGAATGACCTCTCTTCAACTGCCTGGTCCAGCTCTTGCAGACTCAAGCCTATGGCTTCCTTAAGGGAGTCAGCCCATTTTGTCTTCCACTTTTCCTGTTGCCTTCCACCTTTCCGAGCATTATTGTCTTGTCCAAAACATCTTACCTTCTCGTGATGTGCCCAAAGTAGGATAGCATCGGTTTCAACATTTTTGCCTCCAGATATAGTTCAGGCTTGATTTGATTTAGGACACTTGATCATCTTTCCGGCAGTCTAGAGTATCCACAAAGCTCTCCTCCAGCATCATATCTCAAATTAATCCTTCTTTCCCCCCATCATCTTTCTTTCTGTCTAGCTTTCACACCCATATACTGTATGGTGATTATAAATAAAAAGAGTATAAATGATCTTTGACTTGGTCTCCAGTGTGACACATCCTTACACTTTATTTTTTTTTATAGTTACAGGACATGAAATATAATGGCTATAGGAAAAAGAGTATAAATGATCTTTGACTTGGTTTCCAGTGTGACACATCCTTACACTTTATTATTTTTTATGGTCACAGGAAATATAATGGCTATAGGATACTTTTTCTGCTCTCTACTAGATCCATAAAGGTTTGCTGCTGACTTGATAGTGGATTGTTCCCACTAGCAAATAGATGGATGTTTGGGTTTTTCCCTTCTCATCATTGTGCTGACATTACAAAGTTCTGGATCTCCTTTCCCTGTAAACACAAATCACTAAATGGTAATTAGAAGAGGACATAGATTTCACAGGAAAGAAGGGAAATGGATGGAGTTTTTTTAAGGTTTTCATGAGAAAAGGGGGGAATGAATATAGATTTTAGGATTAAACCATAGACATGATTCTTAGCAGGAACAACAAAATTTCATATAAATTGTCTGATTGTGGAACACACTGGACTTGCAAACGTGGAGCAGGAACAACAAAATTTCATATAAATTGATTGTGGAACACACTGGACTTGCAAACTTGACTTTTAATAGGCTAAAATAAGCATTACAGCACTCCTACAGTAAGATGATACAGGGCCAGTTTTATCCTGTGCAAGAAAAGTCATTTTTCATTTCTTTTCTTGGGCCTCTGTTTGCTTAGAGCCATGTACTTACAGCTAGATGGGCATCAGAGATCATGTTTTCATATTAAGGTATTAAAAGGGAGATGGAGCCAGCAGCAGAGTGCTAGAAAATTTCAATTATTTATTAATAATAAATAAATTAGGATAGTGGGAGATAACATGAAGTTCAGAGAGCGCTGCTTTCTTCTGAGAGATGGGGGAGGAGAGAAGAAAGGATGTTGTATGTGTTCATAGGCAAAAGACTTATCCCCTTAGCAATAAGAATAGAGCTTCTGAACATAACTGTGTCAAGATACATTAGATCAGCTATTGGTATAAAGGTGGCATTTGCCCCAAGTAACATTGCTTTAACAAATATTATGTGACAGTAGAAGGAAAATCAGTTTCCACAGGGACTCAGGAGATCCGAATACTGTTTCTGGATTTGACCCAGAATTTCTGTGACAACTGCTTCTTGAGTGAAATACAATATAATTGTCTTCATCCTGCTATGCTGGTAACAGGATCACTCAGTATTGTTTGTTCTGCTTGTGGTTTTCTAACATTTTGGCCATATTGCAGTTCTCACTAGCTAAACTCTTTTGAGTTTTGTCTGGGTTTGCTCTCATTACTTATGATCAACATGACTCCTCCCCATGGTGCCAATTTTAGCCCATTTCTTATTGGCTCTCCCTGTGCTATGCGCTTCAGATGTGATTTTTGTGAACCCCCTGGTCTATCCAGTCAAAATTTAACTTTTTAGTGAATTCCATTTCAGTGTAGTTATGAGGTTCACTGGGTAGCTCAAGCAAGTCAATGTCTTGGTTTCAGACTAAAGCAAGCCACAATTTCCTGTAGTATGAATGAGTTGAAGTAAATCTCTCTCTCTCTCTCTCTCTCTCTCTCTCTCTCTCTCTCTCTGTGTGTGTGTGTGTGTGTGTGTGTGTGTGTGTGTGTTTAGTCCCTTTCCCTTATCTTTCACTTTTCCATGCCAAAAGAAGAAGAAATGAACAGTTTCTCCTGTTTGAAAACTACTCATAATTCTCTGTGACTTTCAATCTCAAGTTGTTTAAACTGTTGTTTCAAACAAATCATAGTTTAAACAAATCATAGCTCTCCAGATTTGGATATTAACATAAAAAGTGGCTAGTGTAAATCTGGAAACAGGCAGCTAAGGGAGAAGAAGCAAGGGAAGAAGGACATATGAGCTCAGGATTGTAGGTTTGTTCATGAAGTGCGAAACTGTGCCTTCCCATTGGGTCTTATCTGAAGATAAACTGAATCACACAGAATTGTGATGAAGCCAAAATACTGCTCTCATCTCCTTTGGAAGAATGTTTGAGCATAGTATAATAAATAGTACGCAAACCATAATGTGTTATTTTAAAATATTGAATAGCTGCTTATAGCATGGGGAAAAGGATTACTGTAAAGCACCGAGCGAGCTTTATTACTATATATAACAATATGTTGTGATTGTTTAATTTTCATCCTCAAAGCTATATATGTTATAGATGCTCTCAGATGTATTTAGTGAAGTCCACTTTGTAATAATAATAACAGAGAGTAAACACTTTAAATTATGTTTTCTTAAGAAAAGTGACCAAGGAGTTGCAAAGTACTGCTGCCACCTAGAGACAAAATCAAGAATACTTTGTATAACACTGACAAAGCTCCCTGCTCCCATATCACCTCATAAATCTACACCTGTCAATTTCATAATTGAAACCATTAGTTTAACACCTTGTCTGTGTGAGTGAGAAGTGGGGGCATAATGAATATATAATTAGGAAGACTAGATAACAGGGCTCAAAATTATCATAGTAAGGCAATACATTGATACTGTTAGTGTGAACACATAGCCAATTGTTTTGTAATTATTTTGTTGTTTGATTAAGCCATACATGCAGATATTGAGTGTGCCTGTGTGTGAGAATGAGAGTCCAAGCCAGAGTAACAAGTATCTAGTTCGGCATATGGGCATTTCATGTGTACTGTATGAAGGTTTTGATTATATAGAAGCAGCTGAAGTATATATGAATTTCATTGTGTGTTCACATCTGATCTGTATGTTGAAATGAGTGGAGAAATACTTTCTGGAACGAGGAGCAGAGTTTTAGTGTAAAATGAAATAGAAAGCAGGATTGGAATGTGGGAATCAAATTGTTCTGCTTGTATTTCATGCATTAAATGATTATTTACTATATCAGTGCCGCATAAGCTTGTGGCCTGCTTGACTAGCTGTATTGGAAAGTGAAGTGAGACAGCAACCTCAAAACTCAGACGTTGTGACAGAGTGTGTGGCAGCAAAGTGTTCAGAAATGGAACTATGTGGTCTACTTTGCGACACCTCCTGGGTCAATCTGCTGTCCTAAGATGTCCCAGTCCCATGGCTGAAGCAAGATGTCTCTGCCAGTGAGCAGGTGTAAAATCTGAGTTAGGTGGCTGGAGGTCTTTGACAAGCTTTTCCTTATTCAGCATTGTAGGGTTTTAAAGTCTTACTGCGAAAGCTGGTGTAGTCCTAGCTGTCCTGCTGTCTGAGCTGGGAAACAAAATGTTACCCCGCCGATGGGCATGCACAGTGGTGTTTGCTGTGAGAAAGCAGCCCCTAAACACATACCAGCTGTAGAAGAAGGGGGCAGATGGAACCCCATATGCACCACACACCATACTAGGAGGCGATGCCAAGCTCAGACATTTCCTCCAGCGGGAGAGGCACCTGCACTCCGGTGCACATATCCTAGGTACAGGCACATCTAATTCAATTGCAAACCTCAGTGCTTTGACTCGGAGATCCCCTTGGATCACGGTATGCTGGAAACAGACAGCTCTCTTCAGATCTGTGTGTAGTGGGAGCAGGCCACCCTCCAGCACAGCAGGAGCACTCCCAGGATGGGTTGCAGCAGTCAATTTGCTGCTCCCAGCTCTCTGCCGCCTGAGGCAAGCACCTCATTCCACTTCATGGTAGAATCTGGGGAGACCACAACGTGTATTTCAGCTCTTACTAGTTTAATACATCTTTAATACATCTTCACTGTAGTAAAAGTGGCGTCTGTTGCTCTTTCATGCTTACATTAGAAATACCTAATTGTGCATTTCATCTGGGCAGCTTCGCTTGATGTATATGTGTTGGAAGAGGGGACACTGGGACAGTGGAGAAAACAAAACGACTAGATGCTTTCACTGAAAAAGGCTGATGCCAAATGTGTTCTCTATTTGAGAGTGTTTAAGATGGAACAGGATTTCCACCCAAAAATAAATGTCTTGGAGTACTGCTTAGGGGTCTGGTAACAACTCAGCAACTCTCCCTGTTGCCAGGAGAGAGAATAAATTAGACATTGAGGCTTCAAAATAAGTGAATCAACTAACTATTCCAACAAGCTTCTCTGTGTATCCCGTCAACCCTTGTAACAAAACCAATAAATCAGGGATTAGCCAGTGCTGTTTTCATTGATGCAGCCTTTGAAAAAGTTGGATGGGGCATCCTGCATCCTCTCCATTGGCGAGTGGAAGTTGTTCTCTCAGTGACACAAATGCTCTGGCAACCTTGTGAAGAGATGGTGATCCATTTCCAAGCAGAGTCACACAGGCAAGAAAAAGGGGGCACAAGTTCTTTTTTCTGAAACAGATCTCACATGTTTTTGGCTCCTAGGTCTAGCTGGCTTTGCTCGACTTTGCCCTGGAGACCAGTATGAGGTGAGTAACTGTGCAAAACATCGTTTTTCCTCATATTCAAAAGTTTCTATATGGTCTTGTTTTCTGTTCTTATATCCTGTAAAGCAAGAAAAGTCCCTCTATTCTCTGTTTATGGGTGAGTGCATTCTGAGACTTAAAGGCTACGTTGGCTAACAAGATAATAGCAGATCTTTTTTTAGCTATGTTTTTTAAGGGTGTCAGCACACCCTTCCATATTTTGTTCTTGGCATCAGTTTTCTTCCTATGTCCAGCCAAGACAGACTGACTAGAACTGATGAATTCAAACAGAGCAAGCCAACTTGTTTTTCTTTTGTCCCCCACCTCTGTTTTCCAAAGATGAGGGTTTCCTTACCAAACAATAAAATGGCTAAAATCTGTAATAAAATTACTTTCTGTGGCCTGGCTGCTATGTGAGTCTATCAATATTCATGCAGTCTGTTTTGATGTTAAGAGGAAACAACGCACAATCAAGCTTTGCAAATCCCATAGCCCCTGCAACCAAAAATACATGTATATCAGCTTTATTCTCTTTCAGGTGCTTTAGAATTTTGAAATCAGTTCAGCTTCTTCTCTTTAAAAAAGGCTGGAAGATAATTGTTTGCCTTATTTTTAAGAAGAGGCAGAACATGAAAGTGCTTAGCTGGAGTTCATCTAGGGGATTTGTTCATCTAGGGGATTTGCAAGAGGCAGAACATGAAAGTGCTTAGCTGGTGTTCATCTAGGGGATTTGTAGGGACTCATGTGCATACAAACCTCCTTGGATTTTGCTGGGACCTTATCCTGCACATTATGACTTGTAATGAGAATGAGAGCCAGGAAGAACAAATATGCCAGCTGGGAGAACACAACACAAGGTTTCTTTTTTCACAGATTTTCATGCGATATGGTCGTCAGAGATGGAAGCTGAAAGGCAAAATTGAAGTCAACGGGAAGCAGAGTTGGGATGGAGAAGAAATGGTCTTCCTCCCTCTTGTTGTTGGACTGATCTCCATTAAGGTACCAGTGCAACCGTTTTCATTTCAATAGCCACCTGTCAATGGAACATAACTACAGTGTTGACCTACAGGTCATAAGCAAGGGGGACCAGAATTTCTATAATTAAATGAATTAATAGACACCAATCCACACTTGAGAGCCAGTGTGGTGTAGCTGGAACCCAGACTCAGAAAACCTGGGTTAAGTCATGAAAATTCACTGGGGGCGAGCAATGATAATCATAATAATAAATTGTGTGCTTTCAAGTTGATTCTGATTAATGGCAGTCCTTTTCAGTGTTCTCTAGGTAGAGAATACTCAGAAGTGGTTTATCATTCCCTTCTTCTGGGGGCGTCCTGAGACTGTGCAGCTTGCTCAAAGCCACACAGGCTGGCTCTTCTGGAATGCACAGTGAGGAACTGAACTCCCAACGTATTCTTGAAGGCTTTCACGGCCGAGACCTGATGGTTGTTGTGGGTTTTTCGGGCACTTTGGCCGTGTTCTGAAGATTGTTCTTCCTGACGTTTCGCCAGTCTCTCTGGTCAGCATCTTCAGACACAGACCGGTACCTACACAAAAACTCCAACCACCACCCACGACAAAAAAGAGGCATAATCGAAACATTAGTAGACCGTGCAAATAGGAACCGTGAAGCTTAATTTCTCAGCACTGAACTCAAACATCTGAATTGGGCCCTACAGGCAAATGGCTATTCCAAGAATGAAATCAAAAGAGTCATCAAACCAAGAAAACAACACCAAACTGAAGAGGAAAAACAGCTACGCACAAATAAAGTATTTCTGCCATACATCAAAGGGGTCACAGACCTCATGGGGAAACTTTTGAAAAAACACAACCTACAAACAGTATTCAAGCCCACCACAAAAATACAACAAATGTTACGGTCAGCAAAGGACAAAAAGGACCCCCTCACCACTGCAGGAGTATACCGGATGCCTTGCAGTTGTGGACAGGTATATATTGGAACCACAAAATGCAGCATCCACACCAGAATCAAAGAACATGAGAGTCACTGCAGACTAAAACATCTGGAAAAATCAGCAGTAGCTGAACATGTCCTTAAACAAGCTGGACATGAAATTCTATTTCAAAATACTGAAGTACTGGATAACACCAGCAATCATTATGTTAGACTGCACAGGGAAGCCATTGAAATCCATAAACGTCAACAGAACTTCAACAAAAAAGAGGAAAGTCTCAAACTGAACAAGTCCTGGCTTCCAATACTGAATAATACAGCCTGCAGAAGGTCAACAAACTCTACCCAGCCACAAGGACCAGGGATCATTGCAGCAAAAAACCCAGCTAATGACACCCATCAATCACAATGACAGATAATCTCCCCCCTTATCACAACAAAAACATGCTGATCACCCTATCTCCTGAAAAGTACAAAAGCTGTTCCCACAGGTATAAATACTCAACTGTCCAACAAACAGCAACAGAGCATGAACAGAGTTCCTACTCCAGTCCTCTGAAGATGCGGGCCACAGAGACTGGTGAAACGTCAGGAAGAACAACCTTCAGAACACAGCCAAAGAGCCCGAAAAACCCACAACAACCATGAACTCCCAACCTTTGGCTCCACAGCCAAATACCTAAACCACTGAACTTTCTAGCCAGTTTAGAAATGATAAGCCACTCCTTTAACATCTCAGGTACCTTGAAAAGCCTATTAGCACCTCCCTAAGTTTGAAACAACTTGACAGCACATAAGAATAACAACAGGGGATACTTGCAACATTTTTATGTGCACCTAGGGGTCCTGCAATGATTGTGTATATGCATTGTTCAAAAGCCAATTAGGTAAGGAATCCAGTGGCTGGAGGTTGAAGGAAGACGCATGAACCTGGGCTCCCTGTTTTTCCCTCCACTTTGAGTGGGACACTGCTGAATGCTGTTGTAGGGCCACCCTCTTTCTGAGGCAAAAGGCATAATAAAAGCACAGTTGCAATCCCTGTAAGTAATTAGATGGATTTAAATTGTAAAAATGCATTACATTATTTTCCTTACTATGGTGCACTTAAAATGAAAAGGGTCTGTTTATTAACCAGGTACTGTATACTTTTACTTATCATGAGCTATAGCTTTTGCCAACCTGGAGTAACCCAGGTGTTCTTGGTCTGCAACTCCCAGAAACCCCAGCCAGCACAGCTAATGGTGAGGGCTTCTGGGAACTGCAGTCTTAAGAACTCCTGGGTTACTCTGATGTATGTGGCTACAGGATTAAACTGTGCTTAAATTTGGCTCATAATTATACCAGACTACTGGTTCTAACTGCAGTGCAAGTAACACACCAGTTATAAACATAGTAATGGCGATTTCTGCCTAAAGTTCCAGAAAGTCATAGATTGCCATGTTGCCCTGGGAGAGACCTACATGACATGCTGAGTAACTATTTGTGGCACCTCTGTTTTAAAGCAATTTGTTTTCCTAAATTCCCACTGCAACACTGCTAGTTCAACATGTTTTGGGATAAAGCTGTGAATGAGAAAGTACCACTAGAAAAGTAGTAACTGCATATCAAGTTCCAGAAGGAGACGGAGGGAAAGCATACGTCAGATGCTGGAGGGAAAAGCAAAAGCCTTTGCAGTAGGAAGCTGGCACTAAAAAGGAGCTCCTCTGCCGAACTGCCAGTAGAAACTGCCGCAGCTTACTGTGGGGAAAATGCATGAGAGGTGACTCTAGGCAATGTTGCTGGACTAGTGACATGTTAATAAACAGGAATTCCATTCCTAATTATTAACACTTGCTCCTTTGTGAAGGTCACTGAACTGAAAGGCCTTGCTACTCATATTCTGGTGGGAAGTGTCACCTGTGAAACAAAAGACTTGTTTGCTGCTCAGCCTCAGGTCGTAGCTGTGGACATCAATGACCTTGGCACAATAAAGCTGAATCTGGAAATCACTTGGCAGTAAGTAAAGCTGGCATTGCCAATTCATATCAAGTGGGTCTCCACCAGTTCAGATCTTTGCCTTCTCATGGAAAGGAGAATTAGGAAAGACCCATTGTAAAGAAGAACAGTAATATTAGACAGACATTTTTGGTTCAATAGCGTTAATGCAGCATGACAGTAGTGCTTTATCAGATATGTACGGGGCACCCTCTTTATATGTCTAAAACATTGTGAAATAAAATTTTAAAAAGGGTGCCTGTTTTTCTCATATATTTGCTCCACTGATTGCTGGTAACCCAGATGTGGTAGACAGTGTCTAGTAGTTCTTATGTGGAATCTTATTTGCAGGGGGCACATCCCTCCCCCACATGGCCCTTCCATAGGCTAGATAATTTAAGGGACATGGCCATGTCTCCTGGCATAATCTAATTCCCACCCCAGCTGCAAGAGTGATTCTGCGTTTGGAGCTTAGGCTAAAAGATCTGAGTCTGCTTCCTGTGGACTTTCCCCTTGCAGAACTGCGGTGTTATCGAAAATGAAAGGTTTGTACTGAAGTCTACAATTTCCAGTCTGAGACTTCTCAGTTGTTCAGAATATAATCCCCCTTTTTACTCATCTTGTTACGCACAGTGGCCAAAGAGTGAGAAAAGGGAGGATTTCAGCTATTATTTTTAATACACTAAGGCTGGTCAAATACTGAGGGATTTGCTCCACTTATAAAACAGGTGAATTTGAAATATTTTTTACTGACCACATGACATGAGGGCGGGTTTGAGTCAGTCCAAGCCTTTTTTGCTCCCTAATGCATTTTTTCAAGCTGAAACTATTTGATTGGGCTTATCATTCTTGTAAATACTGGGGGTGGGGGTGGGGCAGGGCATGTCTATAGGTGCCTTTTGGTGTTTCAGGCCGTTTGGGGGCTTCCACATTGTTTCCTCTCCCCAACAACCCTCCAATTAAAAGAAATTACTTGCATATATGAGATCAGCACTAGAGCACCCTGTTGCCTTATCGCTGCGTTTTCATTACTATTATTTCCTACATTTAAACCCCATAAAAGGATTGACAGGAGCAGAGAAAGGAAGGAAAGAAGGGAGGTTGTGGGTTGGAATGTGAATCGCATCCCACCCAGTTTGAGCAGTGAATTCCTGAATCATTCTGGAGCCCCTGTGTGAGCACTGACTGCAGTGTCAACCATAATACAGTCTTCGACTCAAATTGCAGCGAAACTGAATCGCTCCAATTCAGCTTTCCAGCGTGGTTGCACCATTGCTAGAATAAAGACTTCCAACATGGCATAGGTCTAGTACACATTGCAGTCATCATATCAAAAATCTCCCCTTTATAGCAATGGACTTTCACCAAACTCTAACATCCAGAGTGGGTGGAAGTCTAACATTTTACTGTAGATTTCTGTTTTGTTCTGCTGTGTTTCTGATGGCTAGTAGGGGGAGCATGGAGATTACTAATAAACTGTTTGGGCTCTATATTGGGGAGGTAAGTCCTTGCTTGTCTCATCCTCACAGGCAGGGACAGGGAACTAAAAATTTATTCGCCTCTCCACCTAAGAGAGCAAAATGCTTTGTGGCACTCTCAACAAGAAAAAGAGAACCAATTGTTGTGCAAGTTAAAGAAAAATTGCATAGATGATATGTCTTGTGGAAAATAATGGTAGCTGTCACTTTTTTGCTTGGACTTTTAAGGGTCAGAAGCACGGGAAGTGATGTTTACATCTTTCTTTATTAATCAACTGGTCTTTCTCTGCTTGCTCCCTGTGTACATAAGGGAAATACATTAGTTTTGCACTGAGGCAGTTTGAGTAAATCATGCAGATTCTGAGAATAAAAAAAAATATATCCTTGGTTTGCTCTCACCTACAGTTGAAAATTTTCATGGAATATGAAAATTCCTCATCAAATTGTTACATTAGCCAACAATCACATGAGCAAAGAATTTAATGGGTTTTCTTTATAGAGTTTACTTACTCTGCATACACACTGCTTCTAAATCTTCTGGCCGTGGAGATGCTATAAAGAGACCATTTCTCCTGGCATCTTCAGGGCAACTGCAATATGTACTTTGTCCCTCCACAATCATAAGTGTTGATCCAATGGGTTGTAGTTGTTCTGCTTAATTAACAAAGAGCGCAAGAGTGTTGTCTTGTGAAAATGTTGTGAGAGTTTATTGGCCCTGACTAGGAAGAGCAGGATGGTATGTGCTCTAATGACCCAAAATGAAAAGAAAACAAGCGTTCTTTGTAACAGTAATTCAGTATAATGAGAGACATTTTTTTTTGTAGCCCATTTGATGTTGAGGACGTGACCCCATCTACAGGCAGCACAAACAAAGCATCTGCTCTCCAGAGGAGAATGTCCATGTATAGTCAAGGTACTCCAGAAACACCAACCTTCAAGGACCACTCATTCTTTGTAAGTTAGATATTCCCCTTTAGTATTTGTTCAATGGAAATCTCCAGATATCTCCAGATATGGACAATGATTTGTGATCACACTGGTCTAACATTAATGTTGCT